TCCACGTTCTAAGGCCCCTCCCAGCCCTGACATTCCACGTTCTAAGGTCCCTCTCAGTTCTGGACAACCTCTGACTCTATCTCATAGACCCTTCCTTTTCATAGGAGTTTGAAGGTGGTAGTATGGCAAAAGCCTGAATCTTCCTGGCACTTATAACCAGCTGCCTTTCACGTTAGCTAGTTCGTATTAGATGTTGTTTTCTCATCGACTAGGCTTGGGGGTCAGTGACTACGAGCTTTACGTGCTAAGGTTTGCTGGTGTTCAGTAGTGCTACTAAGGATAAGGCCACAGATTTCCCTTCTAAGACATTACTAAGTCCTCTCTGGTTAGTGTTAAGATTATCAGCTGGCTATTCTGGACACTGGTCAGTGGTAGCACTACAGCATGGGAGGCTTCATGGCTAAGACTGATAAATAACTCAAGAATTTTGCTTCTGTGGACTCTGATCTAGAGAAGCTAATGATTTTCTAGGTATCTTTGAGCAAGTTATATGACTTTACTGTACTCAATATCTCTGAGTACTCATCTGTGTTTAGTATTCACTATGGCCTCAGGAGCTGACATTGGGGTGCCATGGTCTTTGAGGGAAGCCTATGGAATGGTCTTTTTTTCTGGACCTCACTTTCCCTATTTGCAAAATGGGGGAGGAGAGTTGGACAAGATCTCTAATGATTCTTCCAGGTCCAATCTCTCTGATTAGGGTAGGCTCAGCAAGAAAAGACTTCAAGAGAGATAAGGACCTTGGGGATAGTCCTAATCGCTGCTTGTTCCTACATCTTAGCATGTCCTCCTGCCTTCTTCTTCCCCACAAAAGCTCCCATGGGCAAAGCCAGAAGGTGGAGCCTTTGTGTCCAAAGCCTGGGAACCTTGCATGGATAATGCCGAGGGCTTCTAGACAACTAGGACAGTGATCATACTTGCCTTGACCCTGGAAAGCTCTTTCCCCAACTGCGTGACTCCTTGTGCTCTAAGATATTATTTGGTCCAGTTTTCTCTTTTTAAAGAGGAAGAAACTGAGGCTAAGAGAGGGAAATGACTTTTTCTTTGAGGATACCCGGTGATTTGGTAGCAGAGCTGGGCTGCAAATTTAGATTTCTCTTGACTCCTGACCACAGATGATACTCTTCTGGCCACAGATGGCTCGGGATACAGAACACAGATTTAGGTTTTGCATGGAACAAAAGGACATTGGGAATCACTAGAAGGGGAGACGTTAACCTCTTCCACACTGGCTCCAGTCAATACCCACAGCCACAGCAGGAGTAACCAAGAACATGATGGGTACAAGGGCTCAGTGTAACAGATTCCGCTTTCACGGGCTTCTGCAGCTCTGGGCTTGCCAGGGCTCAGGGCCCAGTTCTGAACACCAGTCAGGGATGGTTCCAGCCAGCTGGGCTGGAGAAGGGGCCGGCACTTGACAGGAAGCTAAGGTTGTGTGACTCACCCGGCCAGCTTGAATTGGTTAGAAAGGAGCTGACTCAGCAAAATTCTTAAAAAGGTCCAGGGAAGAGAGAGGAAAAGAGAGTGAGGGAAAGAAGGGAAAAAAAAAAGGATATAGTGGTCGGATGGTTCCTCTGAGTCATTCTGGCTTTAGGACTAAAGAGGGGGAGGGGAAAAAGAGGGGAGTTCAAACTCTTGAGAATTCAAGAGAGACAGGATAGTAGGATGGATAGAGCACCAAATCAGAAGACCCATGTTCTAGGCTGGACTCTGTCCCTGTTATGGTGTGACTTTGGACATGTCACTCTCCTCATCTGGGTCTTACTTCCTCATTTGTTAAATGAAAGGGTTTCCAAATCTAACATTAGATCATTCCAGAAATTTATTGCTTTGCCTTAATGAGTACGGAGCTCAGGGCAGTGGGCTAATGGGAGCTGTGAAGGTTCAAGGCCTGGCTCACAGGGCGCAGGTCTCAGGAACCCTTTCCAAGTCACACTGGTTCACCCCACATTGCTTCTCTGAACACAGCCATCCAAAGGGGCCTCTAGGTTTATGTCTGCCTTTCCATGTTACAATAATTTGCCAGTAACACAGGCAGGATGAGCTCACTGCTTTCCTTGCACCTGGAAGCCGTGTGGACCGTGCCTGCACCATTGATTTCACTTACAAGAATTTGGTTTGTCTTTCCCATAGTTCTCTCCAGGTGCTGGGGACTCACTCACCTTCTCGCCTTTTGGCCCTGGGGGTCCAATGGGTCCCAGTAGTCCTTTGTGTCCCTACAGGAAACAGAATACAGCATAAGGGTCCCATGTCCAAGGCATCAGAAATTAAGGAAGCCAGTTAGGCAAAGGAGAGAGGAAGAGAAGTCAGAAATGGAGAAACTGAAGACGTGGGTTCTGATCCTATCTCTATCATCAATTCTTTGACCTTTGACAAGTCACTTCCATTCTCTGAGCCTCAGTTTCCTCAACTGTAAAATTGAGAGGATTGCATTGGGTGATATTGAAAGGCCCTTCTAACATGAAGGCTCCATGCTTTTGTGACTAACTTTTCAGTGACTTCCATCATCAGTTCCAGGTTATTAGGCACAAGGAACACCTGGTCATTGGTACTCGCTCTTGAGCCAAAGTAACAGGCACTCTGGGAAGCTGAGCATTAGCTGATAACTCAGGTGGCATACTGCTGAGATGCTGGATGGGAAGGCAATGCCTTCGAGCTATTTAATCTGGTGCTAAACATATTTCCATACTCTGGAGGTACTATATAGGGCCCATTTCCCATCCTGTGCATGTCACGGCTTTCTCAAGCAGCTGTGGCTATGATGCTTCTGAAACCTTCCTGTACCCTACTGTGATGACCTCATTAGCATCTCAGCTCCTCCTGCTTGTCTCCTTACCCAGCTTCCACCTCTCCTCTGTGTTTCCTTCTTCTGTGTCCTATTTCATTTCTCCTCTCTCCTCTGACTCCTTTCTCCTTCCTCTACTCAGCTTCTTTTCCCCTTGGCCCTATTCCTCTTCCTCCTCTGTCCCAGCTCTCCTTTCTCCCACTTTTGTGTCTATGTGATGCCCTCCCTATCACCCCTTTCCCTGCCCCTCCCTTCCCCCCTCCTATTTTTATCTTTTCTCCACCCCTGGATGCAGTGCCTTTGACCCCACATTTTCCCCAAATTGGTAAGCGGGTGCTGGTAGGATATTTACCACCTGGCCACTGTTCCATGAACTGGGCTAGGAACCACTGTTTGAACAGTGTGTACAAAGGGGCCTTCCTTTTCCCCTTTATCATCTCCTCCTCCCCTTCTGGTTAGTGCAAGGTTACATATAATATATCACCGGGGAGCAGGACAGAGTTCTCAAGGAAAGGAGAAGTGAGGGTCTTTTTTTAAAAATTTAAATGTTATCTTACATCATAACCAGGCAATCCAGGTTCTCCTTGAGCTCCCATCCTTCCTGGAGCACCCTATGGAAGGAGCCAGAGAGAAGAAAAAATAGGATGCCTGTCACAGGGATTGTCATGGGGCTGCACCCTGCCTATTGGAGTCCTGGCTTCTAAGCAGGAAGTTGAGGGTCACAGTCTGTTGTGTGAAAGCAAGGAAGTCTTAACTGACCTCTCCTCTGTGGACACGCAGCAATCATGGCTGGTTCGGCTCTCCTCTGAATGGCTAAGCGTTCCCGTGCACATCCTGTGCACGACCCTGACACAAGGCCTGCATGCTATGAGGGGATCTACTGACTAGCTGACGGGCTCTGACCACGAGATCCCAAGGTGCCTTGAGGGCTATAAAGGTCACACCCAGCTAACAATAAACAGGAGCTTCTGCCATCTTGCTGTCTCCCGCCTCATCCATGCGTCTCCGGGTTACTGAGCATTGAGCTGGTCTCATGCTCTCCACTGCAGCAGCCGTGACAGATGCCCATTGTTACTGGGTGATGCTTGACTGGGGAGCTGTACTCTCCCAGGGCCAGCCAAGTGGCCGAGCTGTTCTGGACTTTTTGCTTGTCATGAAACCAAATGCTTCAGTCAGATGGTGGCTGAGTTGAAGGGTTAGCCCCCTGCCATTCTGTTTACTTTCTTATTAGCTTCTCAAACTAGGGCTCCACTGGAAAAGTCAAGAAGCCCAGACCCAGATCCCTGAGCCACGTCCTCCATATTACTAACCCTCTCAGGGACATGTATACCCAATATGGTGCAGTGGATAGAACTCTGGACTTGGGATCAGGAAGACCTGCATCTGACTCCCATCTCTGACACTTACTAGCTGTGTGGCTGTGGGCAAGCCTCTTAACTTGTCTGTGCCTTAGTTCCCTCATCTGTAAAACTGGGGATAAGAATACCTAGCATCTCCCTCCCACAGTTGCTATGTGGATAAAATTAGGTGATGCAGATAAAGCACTCTGCAATCTTTAAAAACATCAGTTGTTATCATTATTATTTTTATCATCCTTGTTGCTATTATTATACTGGCCCAGGGGGGATTCAGAGGACCTCTACCTCACCAACATTTCCCTGCGGAAGCAGCCTCCCTGGAGGTGGGTAACCTCACTGAACCATTCGACCAGATGACCTCTGAGGGCCCTTCAAGTTTTAGTTCCATGATTTCCATGATCCCATGATCTATAATCCCATGTTCTGAATTTTCCATACAGGATCTAAATGTTTTGAACCCATTTCCAAATCTATTGGCAAGAACTGACTAAGCTATTTTTAATCCACTTCCCAGCAGAAATTCTGACAGGAGATAAAACATAAGACAGGACTCAACAAATGTGGATTATTTTGTGTAAGAGAGGCTGTCTTACAGGTTTCCTCTGGGTGGTGTGGTGCACCATGAAGCCTCCTGCCAATTAAGAGCCTTTGGGGATACCTCTGAGTCCCTAGAACCCCACATTCTTTTCTCTCTTTTTTTTCCTTTTTTTTTTTTGACTAGGCAATGGGGTTAAGTGACTTGCCCAGGGTCACACAGCTAGTAAGTGTCAAGTGTCTGAGGTTGATTTGAACTCAGGTCCTCCTGACTCCAAGGCTGGAGCTCTATCCACTGCACCACCTAGCTGCCCCACATTCTTCTCTCTTGAGGATTTCTTGTACCCAAAGTTCTCTACTCCCCGCCATCCTCAGCCCCCATACTTCTATCTGGTTTCCTCCTCACCCAAGGGCTCTGAAAAACACAGCTCTCTACCTCTCTGCTGACTATCAAAGAAACACAAAGCTCTTTTCTAATTTGTTTGTTTGTTTTTTTCTCCTAAAGGGTTTTTTTTTTTTTACTGGTAGTGACTAGAGGGGACTGGATAGGGTTTAAGCTAATAAACAACAAAAGGAGAGAGTTACCAAGTTACAGGAAACTGTAAAAGTCAATATAGCAGGTATCCCTGCTCCTCATTGAAATACAGACAGAGCTAGACCTGATGACCTTCCTTAGCTATTCTCTTTCTCTGACTCTTCTCTTGGTTCTTGTCCCAGGAGTTGGCATGCCCACCGTGTCTATCCCTGCTTCTGTTCTCTGTAGTAGTTGGCTCCTGGATTTCCCCTGCTCTGTTTGATAAGGAACAGAAGGGAGTCCCAACCCACCCTTTGTCTGGCTCATAGATCCCTGAGTGGGATAATAAGGTGGATGTAATGTGGGCTCACAAAGGCCCAAGTGACCTTGGGTCTATCTTAGAGGAAACTCCAGACCATGGCAGCATCCTCCAGGCTAAAAGGTCAGCTCCTCACAGATGGCTGCACAGAGAAGTTCCAACGTTTGAGATCAACCAGAGAGCTCTAAAAGAGATGTCACTATGAAACACTCTCAGCTGTTCTGCTGACAGCTGGATAAAATATTGACATTAGTGCCAGAGGAACCAGCTGCATTTATACCCTAAGTCATTCCCCACCTGGCTCAAACACAAACGGTTCTTACAAACTGATCTCTTTCCCCCTTCACCTTCTGAACTCAGGCCTCCCATGCCCCAGGCTGCTCGGAAGTCATAGTTCCCATGGATAGCAGGGCCATTCTCACCGTTGGTCCCAGCGTGCCTCGGGATCCTTTTGGGCCTTGATTGCCAGCTGGCCCAGGCTCTCCTGGAACACCCATTTCACCGAGGTGCCCTTGGTAGCCCTTCACACCCTATAAGAGAAAGGAGAGAAATTGTAATTCCCTCAGGAACTATGTTTTAAGGATGAAGGGAAGACCAGTACCAGCATGGAGAAAGAGGTGGCAAATCCTACCTTGGGTCCAGTTCGTCCCTTCTCGCCTTGTTTGCCTGGTTTTCCTTCTGGACCCTATGGTGAAAACCCAAACCAAGAAAGAAATAAGACTTAACCCAATGGGAAACCCAACAGGTTCTCCTCACTCTCCTTACCTCCACTTTGCCACATGTCTTACTTTTCCTAAAGGCTTATGAAAAAAATAACTAATCCCTCACTATGGCTATGAATCTCTAGGTGCCCTGGTGAGTTGGGACTGAGGGGGCTCAGTACTCTAATATGTATCCAACTCATGCTCATGGGCAGCCAGGAAAGAACAGACACCTAGAGGACCAGCTTAAGTAGAAAGCCCAGCCTCTGCATTGGGCACACTGAAGAGGAATGAGGTACAATATGAAATGGAGCACTCAGGTCACCAGATGGGATGGGGGAGGAGGAAGCTTCTCCTGTCTCTAGAAAGTCACTCCTCACTCAAAGGTGAACTGGAGACATTTCTTAAGTTTTTAAAGAAAAATCTATTTGCCTTTGCACTGAGTCCAACAGGATAGTGGGGGTGGAGGGGAATTATAAGTCCAAAGTTCCTATGTACATGAGTTTTAAAATTGATGATAAAACATTGCAATTGCCTTTCCCCCTAAATTATATCTCTTGACCCTGGATTTCAGACTTGTTCTGAGATGCTCAGCAATAGGACTTCTGCAACAATGATGATATAAAAATGTCTACTGCTTGGCTTGAGGTTGGATGAGTCCTTCCTGAGGCTGGATTTGAGCTCAGGTCCTCCTGACTCCAAGGCTGGAGCTCTATCCACTGCACCACCTAGCTGCCCCACATTCTTCTCTCTTGAGGATTTCTTGTACCCAAAGTTCTCTACTCCCCACCATCCTCAGCTCCCATACTTCTATCTGGTTTCCTCTTCACCCAAGGGCTCTGAAAAACACAGCTCTCCACCTTTCTGCTGACTATCAAAGAAACACAAAGCTCTTTTCTAATTTGTTTTTTTCTCCTAAAGGGTTTTTTTTTTTACTGGTAGTGACTAGAGGGGACTAATCATATAAGATAGGGACACTAATAATAAAAACCAGGGATGAGTCCTTCCTAAGCCTGACAGATCTTACAGATTGCTTTTAGCAGAGAGGTCTCTGCAGGTCAGCCTCTGTGAAGAATCTTCAGGGCTAGTTTTCTCTGAGAAGGGGGCCTGTCCTCCCCAGCGTGAAGCCCAAGTACCAGCAGGTACTACAGCATGGTGCCAGAAGATCAGCAAGCCAATCTGGATCATTATTCAGGAAAGACATGGAATAGGAGGACTGAATGTAATCCAAAAACCTCAACTTCACGGAGTGAGATCTATTGAAAACTAAAAAAGAATCTAATACAGTAACACCAACGCTTCTGGGCTTCCTATGTTACAGGAATCCACTGAACCCAAATCAGACCATGGGGATCCAGTGATAGTCAGTGGAAACAGCCATGGCTTTGGAATCATGTTTGTGGACTCTTAGCTATGTTGTGTATTTAGCTGCATGCCCCCAAAAAAGTACTTTATCTCACTGAGCATCATTTGTATGTAAAATGACGACAAAAATACCTTCTCCTGTTGTCCTCATGGGGCTATTGTCAGGCTGGAATAAGATTTCTTATTTGCTAGGACTTCATTAACTCAAAAACCCTGCATGCATATGAGGTTTAATCAAGATCACCTCCTTCTGTAGTAATGGGCGACTTACTTTCCAGGTATCAGTTTGCCCATCTGTAAAATGGCAAGGCTGGACAGAATGCAAAGGGCTCTTAATGGTAGGCTGAAAAGTTTATATTTTATCCTCAGGGATTCCCCATGACTCTGTCCTGGACTCTCTTTGTTCTTCCTCTACACTATTTCACTTGACAATCTCATCAGCTCCCATGGTTTCAATTTTTTTTTTATGCAGATGACTGACAGATTTACTTGCCCAGTCCTAATCTTCCCTCAACTTCCAGTCTCACACCACCAAATGTTATTAGACATCTTGAAGAGGATGTTCTGAAGACATCTTACACGCAACATGTCCAAAATGTAGCTCATTATCATTTCCCCCAAACCCTTTCTTCTTCCTATTACTGTCCCTATTGTTGTCCAAGGTACCACCATCCTCCCAGTCACCCAGACTCACAACCTACATATAATTCTAGACTCTAACTCTCTCCTGCACCCAATCAGTTGTCAAGCCCTGTCATTTCTACCTTCATGACATTTCTCATGGGCTCGCCCTTCTCTCCTCTGACACCGTAAGAACCCTGGTGCAGGCCCTCATCATCTCACATCTGGACTATTGCAAAAGCCATAGACTAACCATCGGTCTCCCTGCCTCAAGTCTCTCCTCACTCCAGGCCATCTTCCATTCAATTGTCAAACTGATCTTCTTAAGGTGTAGCTCTGACCATATCACTCCTCTATTTAATAAATTCCAATGACTCCCTATTAACTCTAGGAACAAATGTAAAATCCTCTGACTTATAAAGCCCTTCATAAGCTGGCCTCTTTCCAGTCTTTTTACACCTTAAGCCCATCCACATACTCTGAGATCCAGTGCCACTGGCTTTCATACTGTTCTTCTAAACAAGACACTCCATCTCCTGACTGAATATTTTTGCTGGGTGTCCCTTATGCCTGGAGATCTTTCTTTGTATCTCCAATGCTGGCACATGGTAGACACTTAATAAATGTTTGCTGATTGATTTACCCTAGAAACAATATGGAGTCACTAAGATTTTTGAGTAGGGGAGTGACATGGTTAGATCTCTGCCTTAGGAAGAGATCCAGTTGTGGCAACTGGATTAAGGAGGAATTGGAAAGTGAAGCACCTGGAAGCAGAGGGACTGATTAGGAGATTGCTGTAGTAGTCCAGAAAAGAGTTGAAAAGGACCCACAAACTGTGGTGGTCATCATATTAATGGAGATGTGAGAGATATTGTGGTGGTAGAAACAGCAAGAGTTAGCAACTGATTGAATGTGCACAGTTGAGGAAATAGTAAACAATGACCCTAAAATTGTGAACTTGGGTATGGAGAAGGATGGTGGTGCCTTCTACAGGATGGATTTAGGGGGAAAGAATTTTGTTTTGAATATATTGAGTTACAGGTGCCTACCAGACATCTAGGAGAGATGTTCAGCAAGCAGAGAGATGTGACTGGAGAAGGCTGGATATCTATATCTGGGAGTCATCTACATAGACACATAGTCATCTGCTATTTATGGTATAGTGGAAGTAATATAGGTGTTAAAAAGAGGAAACTTTGATTGTAGACCTTGATCTGCAATCAACTGCCCATGTGACCTTAGCCAAATCACTTCCACTTCCTGGGTCTTATTCTACCCCTCCGCACAACAAAGGGGTTGAACAAGATGACCTCTAATGCTTCTTCCATTTCTAAGGCATGATTCTATTTCTTCTAAGTTCTCAGAATGACTTTTTGTGCACCTTGGTGGACCACTTTTCTTGGATTTTGGAACTTGGTCACATCTTATCTGCCTTCTCTGCAACTGGGGCATGACCCACAGAGAAGGCAGGAGTGGGCAGCTGATTTAGTCCACAGAGGTGCCTTCCTGACAGTGGCCCATTGTGCTTGGAAGGTCAGCCCACATCTCTCTGCTAGTGCTGATGTCATCATCTTCAGCTCCCTTGCCATGTCCTTCTAAAGGGCAGAAGGACACTTTTCTCACTGCCTGCTCTGTCTCTGGGTCCTGTTGAGTTGCTGCTGAAACAGATGTTGGCCTTTGAAATGTCCTTTGCCTGCCCAGGACTGGCCTTTCTAGACATGGGTCAATCAGGGAACTTCTTTCCAATCTCAGTGATCTTTCCTTCTTCCTCCTCATTTTTCCCTGAGGCTCTTTCCTGGGGCTCCATCCCACCCTGGGCTGTGTCTGTTCTTTCTTCTGTTGCCCAAGGGAAAAAGAAAGACTTGTCTCCATTTGTTGCCTTCTGTGGTCTGGTCTCCAGATTGTAAACCCAAAGACATGAATTTACCCATCGGCCCCAGTGATTAGCGATGAGGAGTCACCCCCTTAAAAACCCCACTCTGCTACAATCTGTTTCTCTTCTGAACTCTTATAAAGGGCTGTGAAAGCTAATTGACTCGAGGTAAATTTGTACTGCTTTGAGCCTCAGTGGAATAACAAATTAGGGGTCAGTGAAAATGCAATTACCCCTCTAACAGTCAGAAGGAGTTTGACATAAATGGGTTTGTAAGAAGGGCCTTTTGTGACATGTGAGGGACTTTTTTCAGTTTGTTTGGGAGAAAAATGTTTTTGGTTGCTGGGAAATGATTCTTGAATATGGAGGGGAGAAAGAGTTTCATTGTAAAACGCTGAGCTGAGTTTAGGAAAATAGCAAGATCATTATACTCACTAAATTCAGATGAAAAAGTCACCAATGAATTTTCTTTCCCATCAGAAGCAGCCTAGCATAGTGAATGGAGAAGCAGCCCCCAAGCCAGGAAGGCCTGGATTCCAGCCCTGATTCTGCCACTGACAAGCTGTGTGACCCTGGGTAAGTGACTTAACCTCTCAGATTCGAAGCTGGAGAGAAGGTGCTGATTTCCACTGATAGGAGTTTCCTAGGTCAGCAAAACCACAGATACAGTCCTTTTATCTCATTTGTTTCTCCCCTTTAATTCTTGAGGCAGGTGCAGTGAAGTAGAACCACTTTTCAAATGAGAGTCAAGAGCCCTGGGTTCTAATCCTACCTCTGCTGCAAAGCAGGTATATGTGCATCCTTGGAAAAGTCATTTCCCTTCTCTAGGCTCAATTTCTGGAGGAGGGAAAAGAAGGGGCTTCACCTGGATCCTCCTTAAAGTCTCTTCCAGCTCCACCATTCTACGTTCTGATATTAGAACAGGAGTTGCTTGAGAGTAGAGATTGTTTCCTTCATTGTATTTTTAATCCCAGCATCTAGGAGCTCCTGATGTATGGCAAGGCACTTAATAAACACTGGTGAATTGATCGATTGATTCTGTCCCCACTGACCCCAACCTAATAGGATTCTATGAATTCGTTCCCTTACCATAACATTGACTTCAGTTAAAGGCACCATCATTTC